CCTGCTGTGGACAACCCCGGTGCGCGATCGTCTGATGGTGACGACGGCCTCAACTCGCAGGACGACGAGGTCGCTGCCGCTGTTTCGGAGCGCGCCCCAGGCGCTGCCCAACAACGGCTAGGGCGAGGTGGAGGGCGTCGTGGCCGCAGAGCCGGACGCGGAAGCAGGATCCAAGAGCCTCCGGCGCCGGTCGCCGCTCCGACGCAAGCTGAGCAGCGGTGAGCGCCGCCTCCACGGGCATGCGCCTTGGCCTTGAGCAGCTCGACGACATCGATCTCGCATCTGAGCTGCGCCGACGCGCACTCACGCTCCAAAGCGCTCCAACCCAGCTCCGAGGCATCCTCCACTTCGCGCTGCGGACAGGGTTGGAGCGCCCGGCCAATCACGCATCGACCTGCCCAGCTCGAGCGCCGCGCTGCCGCGCTGAAGCCTGTCGGAGAGCTCTCCGCAGCGAGTCGGGCTCTCACGGCCGAACCGCTCGCCGACGGCAACGAGGCCACGCTGGCCGAACTGCGCAATCCCAGCCACCGACCCCAAACGCCAGTGGTGCCGCTCGGCCCGGCAGTGCTCAACCATGTCGCGGAGCCATGTCCCATGCCAGATCCGTTGCTGCTGGCCAATCCGCGTTAGTATCCGCGTTTTGCTCGGTGAGCACCTTCGTTTGATGTTGGACGACCCCGGTGACTTCAGCCTGCCCCACCAAACAGCGCCCCGGTTCGCCAAAGCTAACGTGCGCGTCTTGGACGCATCGTCGCGCTCCGGAAGCCGAATGGCCGTGTCCGCGTCCCTGGTGGTTGGGGATGTCTTTCGCCGCCTTGTCGCCCGTACTTTGGCCCAACAATTCGCCGAAGAGCTCAGGCGGCATGCATGCCCTACCAGTTCGGCTTGGGCACGCGCGCGGGCACCGAGGCGGGTTGTCACGTGGAGGCGCGCGCTTGTCCGATCGTTCGGGGGAGGCTGGGCTGAGCCCCGCGTGGACGGCAGGAGGGACTGGGTGGAACCGCTTAAAGTGGCGGTCGAGTGCCGACGCCAAGTGGATGCCGCCGTAGCATTCGAGTAGTGCCTCCTGCACGGGCGCCAGCAGGTACCCACTCCTGGAGCTGGCGAACCGCCCATAATCGGGTGATGACCGCAACGTGCCACACCCCAGTACCTTGTCGCTGATATCTGCATTGCAGCTGAAGCATGTGAATACGAGATATGGGATATGAACCGCTGCCGGCTGAGTGATTGCACGTGGTTGTACATACCACTGGCGCATGTATCCAAGGTGGCATGCGTGGTTCCTTCACTCGGCTGATTCGGCGTTTGTTTGTATGTGTTTTTTTGGTGTTTTTCCGCGCGCCTTTTCGCGCATCTTAGGAATCCTTATCAACGGCGCCGCCAGCTTGCCGTAGCGGCTGCGCGCAGCGCGGGGGGAACTGTGGCAGGGACCCCACGCGAACGAGGTGGTGAACCAGATTGTGGGTTGCCCCATCGCCCCCCGACCTCAAATGCCAGCACCACGAGCCTTCGCGGTCCGGGCCGAGCAAGCTCAGGGTACCCCGCAACGACTTCGATGGCCGCGCCGTCGCATTGACGCAGGCTGCAGAACGGACATGTTGAGTGCGCAGGCTGCCGGTTTCTGGACGTATTCAATTGTTAGTCTCTGCCAGCTCGTCAGGCAGGGGCACTAGGGGCGCGACGCCCTCCCGGAGGGTCGGCCAGTCCGGGCACGCGGTCCAACCTTCTGCATCCAGGACAGCGCGTGCGGACGCCGCAATGACGGCTCTGCTGCCTCGTCGGCAGCCGCCAGCTCACACGCGCACCGCGCTGCAGCATCCGGCCTGCGCGGGCGCATACGCGTCAGCCCACTCTGCCCAGTACGCAACCGTGTGCACCCGCTCAGCGCTGTAGGGTGGGCAGGAATGCCGCGAGCGCGCTGCGTCCCAAACCCCACTCCGCGTCGGGCACGCTATTGATATTTGGTAGCGTCCATCATATGGCGCTATCGTGCGCCGGCGGCACAGTAGTGTGGCATTGTTTGCGGGTGGGCGACGCCGGGGTGGGCATCGGCGCCAGCACGGGGCGGGCCGTCCCGGCCGAGGCGCCTGACGAGCGTGGCATCAACTGCGAACTGCCCCATGCCACAAGGACAGGCCGTTGCAGACACCCGCAATGCGCGGGGCCCCGCACAGGCACATCCAAGCATCCAAGTTCATGTCGGCCAGGCGCACGTTCCTGGTCACACGTGCACCAGCCCCCTGGCGAGGCTTGCTCAAGAAGGATGGCGCGCGAGGCAAGGACGCCTGCAGTGGCACACGCCGCTCGGTGGTCACCTGGCACATCAAGCGGCCGTCGGCAAGCGCAGGTCCGCGGTGCAAGTGCGAGCGGCGGGCGCAACCGGGAGGAAGACACGGAAATGCACCTGGGAAACGTGACATCCTCACGTGTGGGTAGAACCGTGAGAGCACGCGAAGATACGCGAAGAATGTGGCTCGGCCTGTGATAGCAGTAGCGCTCACGAGGCAGGTGATAGGTTCGAAAATGCCATCTCTCGTGCTCTCGTCAGGGGCGTGGGCAGCTCGTCGCTGCCATCCACGGATGTGGTCACATGGCTCATCGCGTCTGGGGCGTCGACATGCGGCCTCCTACTGTGTCGCCTGCGGCGCCGAAGTATACAGCCGCGTGCAGCGTGGCGGTCAGCAAGTGCGCAACGGCCGCTAAAGCGGGCAGCAAGCTGTGCTGTTTGCAGCGCACCCTCAGGCACCGGATGGTCCGCCTGTCCGAGGAGCCTGGCGACGTACGCCGCGAAAGCGGCGTCGTGTTCGGCCGAAGGCAACACGCGGAATTGGCTCGCGGGGTAGCGCAGCAAAGCAACAAGAGCCATGCCGCTTGAAAGTCCTCGATCGTGGGGGTGGCATGCAGCAGACTATCAGCCCGGTCAGGCAACTCGAGAAACCCCCTGGCCAAGCCTGCCAACCGTGGGCAGCACGGAGCCCGAAATGTAGCGGCTCCGCGGGTTCCGCGGCATCTGCTCATGAAAAGGTCCGCATATGTCCGTGCGCTGTAGACCGCACCAACCAACCAACGCCGCGGGCTGCAACGAGCTTTGCCCAAGCTCGGGTCACGCAGCAGCTGGCGTAGGGAGTCATCGCGGCAAATTGGGCACTGCCCATGGTGATGCGCGCATTGCAGTATGCAGGAGAGATGCGCCACAACAGGACCATTGCGTCGTTTTCATGGGGCGGACTGGGGCCATCGAGGCAAACAGGGCAAACGGGAACGGGGGCAAGAGGCCCGCTTGCTCGACCCGATGGCGGGGTATCCCTGCGCATGTCGCGTCACCACAAAGCCGGTGCACCGCACCCCGGCGTCGACCGCACGAGCGCCCCCTTCCGGTGGCCCCACAGGCGGTGGAGGCGGACTCACCGTGAATGCCGGGCAGGACTCAAGTCCGAACAGCGCTCTTTGTGAGGCAGTGCCCAGGCGCTGACCCGCGTGTCGGCTGTGGACGGCGGCTGGCCGCGGCACCATCCTCGGGCTCATAACCCTGTGCGGAGATGCGCGCAAGGAATTGTTGTGAAGCGAGGCACGTCACTGAAGTCACAAAGACTCGTTCAGCAGGAAGGCTTTTCCAATCTCGTTTTGACCAGTTCGTCTTGAGCCAGTAAGTTACAGCACCGTTCATGCTAGACTTTCAAGCATTTAACAAAATACAGCTGACGTTGTTCGACATCGATCCCTCGGGCGGGCCCACTTCCTGCCACGGCAGCAGGTCCGGGGATCTGGAGGCGTAAGCCCCGGCATCGGTGCTTTCTGCGAGTGCGGGCGCGACGGGCAGGCTCGCAGGCGTCACGGCATCTGGTTTGCGGGCGGCAGCGGCGCGTCGGCGCGGGGCGACGCGAACGGCGAAGCGAGGGGCGTGTGGGCGCTCAGCGTGTCCGAAACCGTTCCGCGTCCGACGCGTGTGACTGGGGGTGCCTCGCCTCCGGATCCCAATGGCGCATTTGCGGAGCAAGCATTAAGCGCATCTGAGCCAGTGCATGCATCGCTCGCTGCCTGCGCGTCGGCAACATGGGAGGCAGGAACAGCTACAACTTCGCAGCGCTGTTTTCGTTTGCCGCTTTGCGGCCTGCAGGTGTTGCAGTGGGACTAAGAGGCACACCCAAAAGCACTACTAAATCCCGAGGAGGGGGGAAGGGATCAGTGAGCAAATGAATGGAGTGCGCGGATGTGCGCGGAGGTGAATGGAGATGAGTGGAGGTGAGCGAGCAGAATGGTGGGAGTGAGCGAGTCAGTGAGTAGAATGCATGAGGGTGACCCCAAATTTTTTTCAAACTTCACAGCATTTTCATGTTTCAGGGTGTCGCCATGATTCCATACTAGTCTTGTTTTCTATGGTTTTGAGAACCGTTGCCGTTCAAATCCGGGCAAAATTGTAGTGACGCCTTGAGGAATCGAGGCATCTTTATTCCGGTTTCCGACTGATCCCAGCCGCGGTTTGCTTCCCGCAGCATGCAGGTGATTGACGCCGCGCAGCGTATCACATTCAAATGTTCGCACGAGGGCGGGGGGGGTACGCCAAGTTACCTTGTGAGGGCTTTGTTGCGCGAGTGCACGCGACATCTCTGTATAGCCATCGACGACCAACCCGCCGGCAACAATTGAGACGGCCATGGTTTTGACTGCACTGACTGTGCAGCAACTGCTTGGGTCGTGCACATCGGCGCATGTGACGGAATTGCAAAGGCCAGATGTTCCGTCCAAGGGCCCGAGCCTGTTCTTTCCTGGGCCAGCCTAGGCCGAAGAGTGAGGCCTGGGAAGCTTGGACCTTGAGTTTTTGTCGACTAAACCAGACAGCCGGCAGGTGCACATCCGGCATATCGGCGGACACAAGAGGATTTTGCCCACTGCGTAGGTTTTGCCAGCGTCACACGTCTTGCTTTAAGACCGCCGAAAGTTTTGTCTCGGCCACTGTACATTGTTGGCGCTTGAAACAAACCGCACCCTGGCCAGTCTCAGCAAGCCAACTTGGCCCGCAACTTGTAGATGGCTTCCTGGTCGAGTCATGTGCCGTGCATTGCCCGTGCTCACAGGCGAATATCGGGCGAGAACATGCTCTTGCACCCAGCAGCTGGCCTCATCAAGCGGAACTTTGCCAGTGAGGCCGTATGCCAGGCAAATCTGCACCAAAGGCTTGGACCGTGCGACCATCTCCTGTGAGCAGGCGACTGGTGGCTTCCCAAATTCCAGTTCGATGCGTTATGCTCTGCTGAATCAAGTCCCGTCAGTAAACTCCGAAACAGCCAGTAGGCTCCACCAACTTACAGAGTCGCCACGGATTCTACACCAAACACACGACACTTCTCAGTTCTAGGATGCCCAGCAAAGCAAGCCCGCCTGCTCCAGGTAATCATTTTGGACCACTTCCAAAGGAGGACAAGCCACTCGCAGCAGCTTGTCCTAGCCACAGCGCCACACAAATCATTCAAGATCATTCAAGCAAGGCTACAGACACAGCTGCACCCGAGGCTCGTAGTAGTGGTCCAACATGGAATTGGATTTGCCGCCTGAACTCTGATACCTGTCCAAACATGCTGACAGCCCTCCTTCAGCCAAGAGTGACACTGTGCCTTTCGAATCTCTCGTTCGTGGCGAAGCTCCAAACTTCTGCCTCTGCCAGCTCCGAGTACTAAGGCATTGCACTTGGGGGACAATTCAGGCACAAAGCCACAAAAGCTTTCTTGCACAGCTGATTGTCCTCTGTTTGTGGACGCGGTGTATCTGGCACCACTGTCGGAGATCCCACTTCTTGGTTGTATTGCCAACAGCCTCGGCTCGGACCCTTTCTGTGTAGCCAGTATACACATGCCAGGCATGCGCGATGAAACTCTATCGGCTACCAAGGCACGAAGGATGCCGATCTCCCCTGTCGCCTGAACGACACAAACTGAGCCCTCGAGCTAGCAGGATAAACCCTATAAGAATCATGAAGGCAAGTTGGGATGCACTCTACAGCATTGCGGTCTTAAAACAATGTTGAGCTGTATCCGGCTCTTGACATAGCGCGCTGCCTTGGTAAAGCATTCGTAGCAAGGACCCCGAGCTTCGCAGAGGGCTGTTTCAAGGCTTCATCGAAATTTCATGGCTTCTTGGCAAGTGTTCATCGACCAGATTGCAGCGAGGTATGGCAGGCATGGTAAGCGAGTAGACTGGCAGAACGCAACATCAATCAAAATCACTAATCCCCATCATCATCCTACGAGTACCCTCGATTGCTCCAGCGCTGCGACAGCACCGTAAACCAGCCACTGGCAATTCCAGCTGAATCCTAAAACAGGCTAGTCATTTCGGAAGGCATCGAAAAGTGTAACTGTAGAGTTGCCTGGTGCAGTTCATCCCCCCCACCTCCAGCCGGTCTGCCCAACGAGGCCACAGAAGCTCCGGATTCTTTACGGCTTCGACGGGCACAGAGTTACCATTCGCAGAGCCTGACACTGTCATGACTGTCGCGACCCTGAAAGGATGGACCCTCGGCAATTCTCACAAGGACGCAAAGCACTCGGCCGTTGTGAGTCTGATCCAACCAAGGCACAGGAAACCAGACCAATCCTCGGGTCAGGGACATGAAGGGCTATGCTTGGCCGTTTGGCCACTGGTGCTCAATTGGAGGAAAGCTGTGCAGGCTGAGTATATGGTGTGCAGCTTGAGATCATCTGCACAGCTTCGGTCAGCACATCTGCGTGCGCACCAGCGCTCTCCATTATTCTTCTGGCATTGCCGGCCTTGCAGTACCGGTATGCTCAAACCATTGGTTGCTGTGGACTGCCGGAATCATGTTGTGTATATTTCCACCAAGGTTACTTACGTATGTTTATCTTGTTTTCATATCCGCCGAACTCCTGCGGGGCGCGGAATCCATGAAGCGTTGCCTTTGCGCTCGGACTCTCACTCTCTCACGCGGACACACACACACACACATACATAGCTGTCTGACGGCTCATAGTGGCAACCCTGGTGAAGTTCTTGGTGTAAGTGTGGGAAACAGCAATGGCACACAAAACACTTGAAAAAGACATGAAGGCAAACAACGACAGAGTAAAAATGACTGCTACTCAGGGTAAGGATTGCATCCGATCCCTCCCCAGCATTTGGTCCAAGGTATTTCCTCAAGTTCATCCGTTGCCGGGTCAAACTCGTTGTACTTGAATGCTCACTGTATCATTAATGTATCTTCAACCACAACTTGAGGGCAAGGCGGACGAAAGCTGGCCCGCAGCGTCCGTCGCATGTACAAGAACATCTGTGTTTTGTGCGTGTGCCAAACCGTAGCGTCTGTCCGCATAAGTTGAAGATCCCAAGGCGGGTCCGGTCTAATCGTGAGATATCAGGCACTAAGCCCCCCCCAAGTCCTATTTGCACCAAAACAAGGTTGCAAACAAAACCTCCCGCAAGCTCGAAAGGAGCTAGTTTTCGCGATCAAGCTCGCTTGCAGGTTCCCAAAATACGAGGGAACCAGCGCGGGAGAGCATATGTGTTTCCACGGCACCCCTGCTCCGACTCCCCCTCAAAAAGTGAAACAACACCCACGAAGAACCAAGAAGCAAGAAACAAGCTTCGCAAAGAAGTTTTCGGACGCATCTCCACTCCTACACTTGACTTGCGTGGTCCTCTACCGTGCTTGATTTTCAACGACCCAAGATGCCCAGAAAGCTTTGGGATCCAGGCCCGGCAAACAAACCAACCTTCCCAGAAGAAACGGGCTCAAGCTACCACACTGCCCCAAAAGTGTTCTCGGAACCTGTGGGATTGGGCCCAAGCCGAATTCAGCAAACCTGATTCGCCCGAAAACTTTCCACCTCTGGTATACAAAAAGCCCCGAAGGCTATGTACACACATACACATATACGTATAGTCATATAGACATAGAGACAGACCATAAGACGCCAAGACCCTATATGTATATATATATATATGTATTATATATATATATGTACACATACATACATACATACATACATACATACATACATACATACATACATACATACATACATACATACATACATACATACATACATACACTCACACATACATACATACATACATACATACATACATACATACATACATACATACATTCATTCATTCATTCATTCATTCATTCACTTATTCATACATACATAAATACACATATGACAAATTTGTTGAAGACTTCTGTGCGCGGATGGTCAGAATACGATCATCAGGCCGGCCTCTGCGCGTGTGTCGAAAATTTTTCCTCGGCTCATCGACATCAGAGCTGATTCTTCTGGGACACTTAGAAACTTCCACAGCGTTTGGAAAGGATCAGCCGAGCCTTACGAAAGCTAGCAGGCTTACGCCTGGCGTATCCTGGATACTGGCAAACGTATCTCGACCTGAGCAGTCCTCCTGATATCTTTCAACATGCTATTGTGCTACGCTGCAGCTGAATGAAAACTAACCTCAAGCCTGACTTGCATGAGCGTTCGCGACAAGAGAGTCTGAATGCCTGGAAATACGTGTGCAACGTTCGACAAGATAAGCAACCAACAACTTCAAGACCAGCGGCTGTCGTCCGCATCATGCAACAAGGCTGCCAAACGAACTGCTTGCTTCCGGCTGCAAAGCAACTCTTGAGCACTGGCTGCAATTGCCTGCAGACAGATACACTAGAAACACCAACGAGATGGGCTCTTGCAGTATAGAACCAACACAAAACTTCTCGGCCTTGTCGGTATGGTGCAGAACTCGCAGCGCGTGTCCCAGGCCGTGAGACTCTGGAACCCCGTGCTTGCAACATAAATCCTGCAGGCATCGAGAATACTGAGAGCAAAGTTCTGCAAACCGCAAACAAACACAGATGACGAAAGCTAGTGGAAGCGTTCCTCCAGTGCTGTGATTGCAGCACAAACCACATCGTCGGACTCGTCCTCGGCATGCGGTGGAAGCAGGCAATGTCAAGTATGATAAACATTAACACTTCCTGAACTCTGCTTGACCTGTGGGCTCTGACTGCTGCATGTTGGACTCGCCGCTTCTTGCCTGAAGCATGTTACAATCTGCCAAGTGACATGATTCTAACACTGATTTGCACCAGCACTATCAGGGGCATCAACCTGTCGACGGCGGAAGCAAGCCTTCGACGCCGTCGATGTCCGCGACCACCATCGCACCCGCAACAATTGTTGACCGCGTCTTTCGCAAGATACATGTGCTATGATATACATCGGTATCATACAGGGACCTCAATTTGCGGTTCTGATGTGAGGTTTTCTGGAGGTCGGGGGTTCGGGGTTTGAGTCTTCGTGACGCTTGGACTTTCGGTTTAAGATTTGGGCCATGGGCCTTGAAAAGCAAAACCCCGTCTTGGCCTCTTCGGCTGTTCCTTTGACAGTTCTGGCATGATGTTCTCAGACTTCGTGTACAAGCTCTTGCGGTAGGGCTGGAATACAACCGAAAGCTGTCTGTTGCGACAAAACTTTTGCAGATGCTTGTTTTCCTTCCGCGGGCCTATCGCCAACTTACGCGGAGATGCCGTCTTGTGCAACCCGTAGTACAGGCACAGGCGGCACAGACAAGGACCTTTCCACATTCAAGTCTGCTCGCAGATCGCTGGCACAGATGGGCAGATGGGCACGGGCACGAACGAAAAATGCCAAGGACACATGCTGCAGTCGCGCTGCACATCTTGCATCCTGTTTGCTGGTTCTGCAATACTTGCGCAGAGTCATCAGAGCAGCTTTGCGGCTTGCATCTTGCACAGTTTGCAGTCTGCCACCATCTGCCACCATCTGCCAGCTTGCCATCACCGATTCGGAGCCCAGCTCTGGACTGCCCATCGAACTGCAGTCAACAGTATCAACAGTGTCAACAGTGTCAACAGTGTCAACAGTACGAGGCCTACGTGTTCTGTGTGGCCTACGTTGCTCTGCTGAATGCAGTGCTCCACAGGGTGCTGCGCGCTGAGTGCCTTTGAAGGAGTGACTTGGAGGGACCCTGGCTTCTGAGCCTCGTCCAGGAATTAGGTGTTTGACGGAGCTGCGCCTGGTTCCGTACATCTCTGCTCGAAGCAGTCTTTCTGAAGCAGCTTGTAGAGGAGCTCGGCTGTCAAGTCGTGATCACCTGGTCCCAGACCAGCCTGCAGATTTTGCACCCACCTCTCCATTCTTGCGTCTGGTCTGGCATGGAGCATCATCTGCAGGTCGCTCAATTTGAAAGAAACCGATGCATTTTGTAGACCATCTCCATTACTATTCCCGCCAAACTCATTGTCCAGGCAGTGAGGGCCATGAATGCGAGTGACCAGAAAGCGCAGCTCATCCAGCAGATTTTCGGTGCCTCAGCGGAACACAGGATCCGGAAATTGACGCTATGGGCGCTATGGGCTTGTGATGGCTTGTGGCACGTCTCAGAAATTCAGCAGAATCCACTAATGAGATCCAGGATGCTGAATGCGTCAAGGTCCAAGAACAGCATCACCACATTCTTGAAATCTAGATAACTCTGCGAGTGCAAATCTCCTGCAGCAAACAGAGACTCTGCGACCTCCAGGCTCAATCCATTTGCCAAAGCTGCCTTGCAAAACTGCTTCTTGTTCAGCTGCCCGTTTCCCCCTTCGTCCATACGTCGGAAGAGCAGTCTTGCACCCAAGAGCACTTCTGATCGAAGCCCGGAGCCAAGAAGGCTCAGAAGCATGCGGAACGTCCAGCTCTGGTTCGCGCGGTCCTGGAGCCGCCTTTGAAAGAGTGGGTGCTGAGGGACCCAGAGTCCCCAGCCGTTGCTGGCATCTGCTTTTAGCATTGCATCGTAGGCGCTCTTGCACGGGCCATGCGCGTCTTGCAACCAGGATGTTCTCAAAACTTCGATCGCTTCAGGCCTCTGGTGAGCATGCCTTGCCATCATGTTCAGCACGACTTGCTGCACAGGCAGCGGGCTTGCAGCCTTGAGCCTATCCAGGTCTCGCCAGCCCAAGCCCTTCTCTGACAGGATGAGCTCTTGTACGCCCCCACGGCTTAGCTGCTGATAACACATAGGTAGAGACGCTGACTGCCTTGGTGTCTACTTCGTGTCTGCTGGCTTTGCATCCAGTGCTGTGTTGATTGTGTTGTCGCCCCTTGATGAAACTATGAGTGCGAGCTTCTGAGTTTCAGTCCGAGTGGGGCTGGGAATGTACTTTCCTGCTCGAGAAGAAAGGCAACGTTCGTGGCTTCCCTTAAGATCTTCTGAAACCAAAAATGCCTAAACATGTTCGTCCAGCCGCATGTTGAAGAAGGGAAGCCAGCCTGCAAGCGACAGTGAGAAGATTACACAACTTCAGCGCCTTCACAAACAGCAGAACAACAAGAGACAATAGCAAGAAAAGATATAACAAGAATAACAAGAATCAGAACAATAAGAAGAACAACAAGAAGAACAAGAAGAAGAAAAGAAGAAGAACAACAAGACGAACAAGAAGACGAACAATGCAAGAACAAGAAGAAGAAGAAGAAGCGTACGGAGAACAAGAGCAAGAACACCAAGATGAAGAATGCCAGCCTGTAAGCAGCTCGAAAGCTGTGACGCCCAGCATGTAGACATCGCTCTTGGAAGAGAGATTCTCTTTGGCGATTACCTCCGGAGCAATGTACCGTGGATCTCCAGGTGCGGCGACCAAAGCAGAACCGATGCAGACGGTCGTGTGGCCAAAGTCGCAAACAATGCAGAAGGGCGAACCATCAGGTCTACGTCCACCGATCAAGACATTCTCAGGCTTCAGATCCCCGTGGAGGACAAACTGCCGGTGGCAGTAGGCCACTGCACTTACGATCTGCTGCATAGCTCCTGCAGACAACGTGATTGTCCACTTCATCTCACTTAGTACGACAACGTAATACACACAAGCCCCGAACGTCCAACAGAAAGTCCAAAATGGGAAGAGTGGGCTGGAGGAAGGAAGCTATTGGGACGCAGAATGACGCAGATTAAGGGCTTTGCACGTGCTTCATGCCGGATATACAGTACGTTGCAACAAACCCAGCCTGGGCGCACACCGCCCTTCTACAGCATCCGGATGGCATGCTTGCTTCCTGTGGGAAATTGTGGTGCCTTTCGGGCTCTACGTAAGAGGTCCATAGGATGCACTGTTGGACTAAGTTGGCCCAGCCTCGGACCCTGAGCTATGCGGCCATGCGCGATGTATCTCACGAGACTCATGGACTCTAGCCAGCAGATAAACCACTGCAACATAGGAGAAACAATGGCTTGGAAGAGGTGCTGGAAACCTGCTGGCCAGCGCGAGTCCTGCAATCCACGGTCCGCCTTCGTGTGTAGCTGCGTACGTCGATAAGGTTCCACCGGACGCGAGCTCAGTGACGATGAGCACCTCGCACGATGACATGGCTTGAGTGGATGTGTTGACTTTAGCTGGGAAAAGTGAAATCGGACTCAGATGGGGAAAAAGCATGATGTTACATTTTCCCACTGTTGCCTAGGAAATGCAAATCCATGCTGGACTCACGATTGTCGATCTAAAGCTGCTCGGAACGAGCAGGAGCTGCTGGGGCTTCGCAGACATGGCTTCGATGTCTAAGAGATGCTCTTTTGGAGGTTTGAAGGTTTACGTTTGAAAGAAAATTGTCACAGGTGCGAGAAGCTTGAACAGTCTGAAGAAGTGAAAGCGCGATTTCACATGTTGGTGTTCAAGCCTGTGTTTCTGACAAAAGCGTGATATGACATTGCCTTTCTTTTGCTGTTCGAGTTCAAGGCTAGCAGTGGGAGTACATGGGAATACAGACTCAGGATGACTCAGGAGTATGAGAGCACTTCGTGGTTACAAGAGGATCACTTTACAGCCCCAGTTTTTGGATGGCCTCACGTGGGAACTTCACGACTTCAAAGATGCGGAGCAGGTTCGGGTGGGCCAAGGCGCGAAGCACGCTAACCTCATCACCCGCACCCTCCTCCTCGGGATCCAGGCGCTCCAAGTGCTTTACAGCGACCTGACGGCCACTGGAGAGATCCCTTGCCTGGAATACCTCCCCAAAGTATCCTGCTCCAATGTGCTTTATCTTCGGGTATCTGCACCAAACAGCCTCCTCTGGTGAGAATCCCTCGACTTCATGGCAGCATATCGTATTCCGATGTCTCCCCGCTGTTGCTAGAGTTATGGGGCACAGCCCCAGCAAGGTTTGTTGGAACATTCGCACCAAAGATGCGAGTGTCTTTACAGGCTCTTCGGGCAGAGGTTTGCTTGCCGGTTCCTCATAGAGATGATTTCCAGTCGCGCCGATGTTCTGGCAATGATCTTGAGAGAGCTGAGCGTTGATACCGTCGACATCATCGTCAGGACAGAATGGGGAGGTCAACCTCTCCAAGTCGCCGAAAGAACCATCATGCAAGCATCCCACGCCCAGCTGTTCCCGCATTTCCTGGATCACCGGCGCAAAGGAGGTGACGTGAGTCTTGCCAGTGAGACTAACCTGCTTCACATATGCATCTTGAGCGATCGACAAGAAGAGGTGTGGCTCGCGCATCAGCAAGGTGAAGCGTCGCAGTGAGCTCTTGCGCTCGGCGAACTCGGCCTCGAGCATCTGGATGTGGCGTGAGAGGCGGATCGGCAGATGCTTGCGATTGAAGGCCGTTATGGCAAAGGGCTTACTCGCCAAGGGATCCCGCAAAACCTGCCAAAAGTCGTAACAAGACTGTGCCCAACGTGTAGTGCTCAAATCAAGAAGCTGCGCCACTTCCAGCATGTCGCAGGCTGCCATTCCACTCTTCCCTTTGGCATGTACCGTCAGCGCGGAGTGCCGGAGAGGAGTCAGTTCCTGCACATCATCATCCACGAAGAGCACCTCTTGAACGCTTACACAAAAAGACGTTGGGAACTGGCATCCTTAGATTGACTATGGCACAGTGATGTTCCCCTTACCACCTTGTTCATGCATATGATTAAGGCTGTGCATGAGGTTCACAGAGCAGGCAGTGTCGCCCGTGGCACCTGCTCGCCAGTCAGGTTGTGAAGGTGCTTGTAGCGGTGAACAATCTCTGTTTTTGAATCCCACTCCCCTTCCCTCCATTTGCCCAACATGCTCCACAACCGATCTATCTCCTCTGATGCTCCACTGCCACTGGACTCTGTTTCTTGGTCGTACGCGGTCCGCGTACCATACGCTACGCCAATGTTTCCATATAAAGCTTCAAAGCAGTCCAGTAACCCCACTTCTTGCAGGCACTTCCGAGCTACACCGACATAGCCACGAGTTACGAGAATGATTCGGCAACCACTGGAGAGCAGACCCTCAAGCAGCTTCCGAATGGCCGTCACTCGGCTGAAGCCACCAAAAGCCTGCTCAATCCAAGCAGGACCCAGTTCAGTCAAACGACGAAGCTGGCCACGCTCGGTTAGGGCATGTGGCTCTGACACAACGATGCCACGCATGGCTAGCATGCACACTTGAGCATCCACCCATCCAGCCAGAGATTTAAAAACGTGCACGACCGTCAGTGTCAAGTCGAAGTCGAAGAAAACGATGGAGCCTGACGCGGACGACCTTCCTGTAGGAGCCTCGCGATGCTCAGGGCAGCGCTCAGGCCTGAGGAAGCGCTGCGCCAGCGACTTCAGCCACATCTGGAATGGAGCGCCAAAGCGCTTCTTTGGCGAATCTGAAACCGAAGGTCTGCGGCGGGAAGTCGAGAATGAGAAGATGTGGGATTGGCATGAGACATCATTAGAATCTTTAGGCTCGTGATAAACTGAAGTCATGAGGCAGCAAAGGACGGGTCCAAAGTGATTACGAAGGGCATGCATAGTCGAAAGCATTGCAGAAAGGGTGCCGACAAAGCAACAGGGTAAGACGCGGGGGCACTTTCACTTGGCAATTCTTCCTCGGTCCGCTCCAGGCTGCACTGACTTAAAATCTTCTGCGCCAACGCGAGCGTCGGTAAAATTGACATCCTGCCAAGCAAAGCCTCGAACTAGCTCAAATGAGCGCTCAAATGGTGACACGCCTTCCACGCACATGGCCAGGAGGCATCAAATCATTCAAAGCATCAGGAGAGCAACGTGACAGTGACGCCCTCGTTCTTGACAACCTTCAGCGCAACATGCAGGAACCCACTTTGAATGAAGTTGAGGTGAATTGCTTACCCACTGGGCTGTGCAATACTGAGTCTCCACACGCAGGCGAGATGTCCAACGTTAAGGTTCACAGGCTTCTGTGCTGCCTGCGCTACTTGACAGGCTCAAGTGCTTGCAAAAAAACTCACAACGCGTCCTTCAGCGAAATGGCTTGCACTAGCAAAGCATTTCAAAGTATTTTGTCCTTTGCGGCGCCAGCTCCAAAAGTTCAGGTACTCTGCCTTGCATTTCGGCAGAACCATGCGAGGCAACCTTTGTGCCAAGATGGCTGATTGCATTCACTGAAGGCATGCAGACACGTAATACCTACTGAGCACACTTGTAGCACGTTCCAGGACTAAGAAGGGCAGCATCGATAGTAGGTGCACCAGGGCAGCTTCGACCTCCTCCGCATCTTGGAACGTGACAGACCCTTCAAAGGGGCCTCCCGGTGCGGCTCCTGTAGTTCACTCGTTTCACTTCTCCTGGCGTCATCGGCTGCAGTTTCTGCAGTGCTTTCGGCTGTGGGTTGCAGCTCGGCCTTCAAAGCAGAAATGGCAGCTCTTACCGGAGCTACCACCTGACGGACCCTTTCTGCTGCCCCAGTCCTTTTAGAGCCTTTTGGCTCCGAAGTCTCGGCCCACATCGTGAGCTGCTCAGCAAAGTCTTCCACAAAAACTGAAGAAGAGGGCTGTGAGGATGCAAGGTTCGCTGGCTGAAGTGCCTCACCCGTCGTTTCATCCAAGGCAGCTGCAGTTGATGCGATGCAGTGGAAAAGCTCTCGGGCATTTTCTTGTGAAACATCCACATGACACGACAGAGCGTCGAACATTTCGAAGGACAGGCTGGGAAGGACTTGTATGTTGCTTTCTGAGTTGGAGCAAGTCTCGTGGAACTCAGGGAGAAGCTCCGACAGCAAGGTCTCCAGGCACCGTTGCGCGGCATGCGGGGTCTGTGCCTCTGCCTCAGGCTTGTCGGCCTTGTCGGCCTTGTTGGCCTTGCTGGCCTTGTTGGGCTTTACGGGGTGCCTCGCTGCGGCAGCTTCCGCCACCTGGGGCCACTCTGTGGCCACGCGCTGCCAAAAGTCCTGCAGGCTGATGGCTGGCGCGGCCGCACGCAACATGCGGCGCAGGTCCCTCGAGGCAGAAATGGCAGAACTTCCTCCGAGCTGAAGGGCTTGGAAGCCCGGGATCTCACATCTGGTTACGATGCGTGCAAGCTCGGATTCAGACAGATCCGAGTTGGTGGCATCTAAACAACGAAGCGCATCGGCCATGGATCCTTGCTTGGCTAGCAGCCGCTGACGCAGATCCCGCCAAGTGAGCTCCGTTGGGATCTCTTCGATCGCGTGCATGAACTGCGACAGCTCTACCATGCCCTTGCCATCAAAGTCCAGCAGGAGAAAGAGGTGAATAGCCTTCGGACCACCGAAAAACATCGAGACAAACATCATAATCTTCGAAGATGCCCCCCCCCCCCCCCCGTAACTGAAAAAGGAACCGAGTTAGCCATGCCAACAGGCCTGGCTTGCACACACACCCAGCGACCCCACCGCCGCCACAAAGTCTCGCCTTGAAACCTCAGATTGGGAGAAAGAAGTCGCCCGGGGAAGCTGCGAAGCTTGAATGCGAATTGCTTGAAAGGGACTGCGAAACGGGCACTACAACGCATTGGTGGGGTTTGCTGGTTGACCTCGGTCTCCGACACTGCGGGCCAAAGGTGTTGGGGCGAGACTCTTCAAATCCTCAAACAGAAGGTATCAGGCATACGGAGAATACGGAGATCTGCGAAGTAATGAACATAGACTAGCGAATCGCACGCACTTTGGACAGATTGAGCTTGCCACATCCGTGCCCGAGTTTGTCGCCCAGCGCAGGGCTTCCTTGCCAGAAAATGCAAATCGCATTCTGGCACGCATGACCACGACTGATCCAGAAAGATGAGGCACTTGCCGCTATCTCTTCGAATGACCCGAAGCGATCCAACAAGTTCTGCCGCAGTTGGAACAGAGACAACAGGTCCTCAGCTGCCGGGTGCTGCACATGCAGCACGTGCAGCACGTATCTGCAGGGTGCACCAACCTTCCCCGAAGGCAGCCGGCCTCGACCCAATCCAGATTTCGATTCAAGCTGGAGACTGCAATGTCTCCAAAACCGCTGTCCAGTGTTGCCTTGTCGCAGACGGCCAGTTCTGAAGTGAACTCGGGTGTTGCTTCGCTTCAAGTACAAGTTCAGGCAGGCACAAAGAGGCGGAAGGCCATGCGTCTATTCCCGTACCGCAACAGTGATGTCACACACCTCAGCATGCTTGAGGGGAGCTTCGTGCTGGCCTCCACTACATGTGTTACTGTGTCCAGTTGTGGGAGGTGTGTTACTGTGCTGCTCCTGCAGCACTGAGGCGCGCACCATTCGAACTCTGACTTGCTTAGAGGCTCGAGCCCTTGACTGCCGAATGCCTTGCAAGCATCAGCTGAATGCTGGCATTGCTCAGCTGTGCCCTCATGATCCCGCATGCACCAAGCTCAAGAAGGTGAGGAAAAGTAAGGTGAGGTGAGGGGACAGGGTGCCGAAGCAGGATTGTGCACTCTAGCCAAGGAAGCTACACTACTTTCATGTTGCAGCCGCCCATATCTTATCCCCCTCATCTTCCGAGGTTGCCCGAGTACACGTGACATGAACTTATGTCTGTGTGGGATCCTTGCCATTCCTTGCCTGTCGCTGTTGAGACACTCCTACTCCGGCATCCGGCTTACGGTCGGCGCATCGCGCCTTCTGAGAAGAGGAGCGATGAGCGGCCTGTGCCGCTTGCTTCATGGCCCGAAACCTTGGCAACGAGTGAACTGCCCAGACTGCACATGCTCCGTGGCTCGCGCATGATTATGCCACCAGAACATTTGAGGAAGCTGACGCCCTGGTCGTGTTGCCAAATCGCCTCACAAGCGTACTGCAAAAAGCCAGTACCTGGCAACGCAGGCGACACCAGCCCTGAACGCATGGCTTTGCATACCCAGCTCCTGGTACCTCACTGCGCTTCCGATCTTCATCCTCCGAAACACGGTACGTGCTCGAAGTCGGACTGCCGCCAAAAGGACTGCCGATAGGTGATGCCCTTGGCAGCTTCACCAGTCATCAAAAAAAGCGTGACTTGCTTGAGGACAGGTCTCATGGAAAAAGAGGCCTCAAAACATCGAGGAGCTGGTAATAGCCAAACATAAAACACCAAATTGTGGCGCAGAGGATTTTTTGCACAAGATTGGCATGGCGGCATGGTCATCATTGACATAGATTGCTTCAATTGTGTCCCCGACCCTGTCATCTGACTTTTGATGTTTCCGAGGCCCCTGAGACCCCATCCCGAACTTCCAACCTCAAGCCCGGATCCTGAGAAAACCTGACGATGTTGCTGACATTCGCTTGGCAAAGCAGCCCAGTAGTATTGATTTTGGGCAGGGGACGACCATTTTTGCACGCATGTTTTTTTGACCTCGAACCCTGCTATACCCACAAGCCCATGATCCGAGCTGCAAACAAGCCAATCAGCCAACAACTCGGCAACGTCCTTGAGACCGACCCGGGAAGACCGGAGCAAATGCAGGGGTAAGGGGTTCCGGCGAAAAACACTGTGCAGATCTGCGAGGCCGATGAGCAAGAAATCCAAGATGCGAGAGGCTGCGGACATGTGATAGCATGTTGATCCCCTCATAGCTTGCAGTTGGGAGGCCCCCGTTAGTTGCCGTTGCCTGGGGCTATCGGAAACGGAGGGCAGACGAACTCTGCACATCTCCGGCACTGCAGGGCCGGGCAAAGGAGTGGAAGCGACGCTCCCGGCAATGGGTGTGAAAACGACCCGAGCACAAGGGGTGAGCAACGAAGGGTTCGGCGCAGACTTGGCAGAGGCCGGCAAGCAGTTGGGGCTGTCACCCGGACGTGCACCCCAAAAACTGACGGATTATGGTCCAGGGTCAAGCTGGTATGAAATCCCCTTTTCAAGGCGAGCAAGAAACCTCCGGCGAGCAGTCTTCCGAGTGGATGGGGTCAAAGCTTTGGAGGACAATCTCTCCCAAAATCCGCAAAGATTTGATCGATGTTGATCTGGGTGAACAGTTGCCGGCATGCCGTCCAACAGGAATCCAGCGAAACCAGAAGTCCTCGAACCCCGTCGAGTGCTCGATCTGTCACATGCAATCACCTCCCGGACAAGACTTTGCCAGGCCGTCAGGGGCAGCCAAGGTCTTTCGAACGAATGTTTGGGTTGTGAGGGAGCCGTGCACAAACCTGGAGTCGTTTCGGCCACTCCTTGTCGGGCTCATGATGTGCAACCTTCCTCTTTTCTGAAGCTAGCGTGCTGACATGAATCACAGCACAGCCGGGACAAGTTCTTGAGGCTGCGATGACTACGGCCAGCTCACGAACCCATTGGACACGAACACTCTGGCGACCCGGCGACATTATTCTCCTGCTGCAAAAGTAAAACTGAGATATTAGCGGCATGGTTTTCCAGCACCCACCGTCTCCTGGATGCCACACAGTTCAAATGGAATAAACAGATTTTTACCATGTTGACTGGGAGGAGCCTTCGTCAATAGGAGGAGAAGACAAAAAGGTGAAAAACGTGAACACTGCGAACAACGATTCGCCCCAACACCCTTAGCTGCTTCGACTTCCTATCCGGGGCCCCGGCGTGCAGTTGGACGTCGCATCCTGGCAGTCCCGACACTAGGTACGTTTGCGCTAAACCTCTGGAAGAACCCTTTGCAAGAAGTCTCTGAAAGCTTTCCACTCACCCTTTTCCCATTTACGGAGAAGCATGACTTGTAGGCAACCTTTGCCCAGACTCTCCGTGCTCCTAGGCTACTCTAGTCGACTCTCGCCTACCAGTGAACCCCGACTTTCATCGAAGCCAACTTCGTTTCTGCGCGTGAAAAAAAAGTCGGTGGCGCCTGGTCGTAGACGACTCGAGGTGGCCTCGAAGCATGTGCACAAACGATCCAGTCGCTCAACTTTTGCACGCATGCGAACGCACGCAGGCACGCACGCAGACCGGACTCTCGGGCGGGACTCTCCGCAGGCATCTTTGGAGGCAGACACTCTGGCGAGGAAACACGCTTAGTTGTAACTTCTTTTTTTGCTTACCTGTAACTTCCTCTGTTCTTGCTACATTTACTTGCTTGTGACTTCTTTTTTTGCTTACTCGTAACTTTTTCCGTGCCGTTTCCCGAGGAGGGGTGCCAAAACCCTTGCATATAGCTGTTTTTCGGCCTCAAACTGCGAATGCTGTGAATTACAGCATTTGCAGTCCGTTACAGGCTTCAAGTCTTGCAACTTGCAGTCTTGCGGGGCTTCTCGCGCTAGGCCTTATCTCTTAGGGCTCCCGGTTTAGAGTTCAGGGTTAAGGGTTTAGGGTCTAGGGTCTCGGGCCTAGGGCTTAGGGTTTAGGGTTTAGGGTTTTAGGGTTTTAGGGTGTAGCGTTTAGGGTTTAGGTTTAGGGTTTTAGGGTTTAGGGTTTCGGGCTTAGGGCTTAGGGTTTAGGGTTTAGGTTTTGGCTTTAGGGTTTAGGACATTGATCAGCAAGATTGGGCCAGGGGGCTGCGGTCTTAACGTTTAGGGTCTAGAGTTTGATTGGGGTTGAGGGTCCCAAACCCCCAATTCCCTCATAAATACAGTGCGCGCCAACAGTCCAGGTACTAAAAGTCACCACTAAGCAAAAATAAAAGTTACAACTAAGCAAGTTACAACTACCCTAGCTACCTTCTAGGGATACTCGGTGGTACGCTTTGCGGTTCTCTAGGGTGGCCACTCCAGCAGTGGGCACTCCAGCAGGACAGGGCTGCGGGACACCGAGGGCGAGGAGGCGAAAAGGAGGCGAGGAGGCGAATAGAGCATGGTTGAATGGGGTTGGCCTAAAACCTAGCCCACACACGGACGGTGGGGAAACAACCCACAGTGAGGCTAGCTGTTCCCAGATCACAGGGCTGCGCGCCGCAAGAGCTTTGATGGCGCCGCCGGAAGCAGTGTGCTCAGCACCTTGTGCTGGCTGAGAATATAAGGCTTGCACGCACTGCAAGAGCCACGCTACGAAATGCATTGCGCCACTGAGCCTCGCTCGTTGGAAAGCATGTCACTTTCTTCCTTCTGATGTCGGCGCCTCGGAATGGGCCCAACAATCATGTTCTGTAACAGAATTCACACAGCATTGCAAAGCAAAAACTTAGAAACTTGCGACGGTAAAGGAGATCCTGGCAGCGCCTCAGTGAAAGTGGGAACATCTGAGAGCATGTGGCATCATGCCTTGCAGTTGGAGGGACATCTCCACTCATGGGGAGCACCGTCGCCAAACGCGGCCTCGCCTGCATGTCAAAATTTCTACCCAAAATCACTGAAACCACCGGACGCAATGTAAAACTGCTTGGCGAAAGTCCTGCAACAGAGTGTGCTGGCGCTATGCTGACCCTATGCTGTCTGGTGCAGTCCCACAAGCTTCTTTGGGCCTGCGCTCTGGTCTTAGCCCATGGTGGCACCTGATCTCCGCGGCTCCGTTTATCTCTAAATCAGCCATTGAAAACACCTCTGGCACTGTCACCCTTCAACGGCTTATGGCACATTTTCGCGGATAGCACAACTGAGTCGTAGCTGTTCGTGAGACAGAAGCCTCTCGGCCATTGATATGGGTACCATGGCGGCAATGGTGTGGTTTGTTTGACTGGATAATGCTAGATTGCCGGTGTGGTCCCCGCGGTTCGTGCGCATCGTCCTCGACGTCAAGAGGCCCTGCCAGACGAGCATATTTGCTTGGCAGACCTCTCCAACCCCGCCAGAGCTGAGCTCATCTTCGGCCCCCTTCCAGAGTCAGAGCTTCAGCTTCGGGTGCATGGGAAGTGCATGGAAAGTGCATGGAAAGTGCTTAGAGGCTTAGTGCCTAGAGCCTAGGCGTATTGGCCGTTGCGGCTGACTCTGAAGGATCTGAAAGGGAGCCCAGAAAAACGCGAGGAACAAAGCCGATAACAAGTGGACGGATACAGTACTGAGTGCCTGAGGCACGTCAACTTGTGGGCATCGTGTGCTTGCAGCATACATGCCAACTCGAGAGAATTCCGTATGACCATGCTTGACTGCGAAAGGATCTTGGCAAACGCGTATGCTCCTTCATTGTGAGAACAGAGATTCTGCAGACGTGCATTCTGCAACGCTGCAGCATTGGTCTAAGTCAGCCCTCAACTTCTGTGGCAACAACGCAATTCCACATATTCACACTCTCAATACAAAGGCATGGATAGCAAAGTGAGGGCCAGCTTAACTTGTCGGTAATAGAACACCGCATCTGTCACACGGAAAGTTTGCGGACAGCGAAATCATTGTCAAGTGCTGGCGCAGGGGAAGGTCGGATTATCCGTCTGGCAATGCCACTTCCACTGCACCTCTCTCTTCGTCTCAGCTCCTCATCATCTCCATAAACTCCTGGAAATCAATTTCTCCATCTCCATTTGTGTCGACCTGCTTTAACAACTCCTTGGCTTCAGTCGCAACGGTGACAATAATGGTCTCTGCTGTTGCAAGAAATTCCATCAGCGACTTGCTACACTGGAAGTGCTCACGACATTCTATTCGCACAGGCAAGATGCCGCCAAATCCTTGCCGGGTCAGACAAACTAGACTCGCACAGACAGTCAACAGAAGTGACAGCGACCGAACCTTGTGAAACTTGCCCTGCACATCGTCGCTTGCCAACACTTCAGCAAGCCTTTGTAGCCAGGACAAGGAACAGTCTCAGGCGCAGGAAGTTGCCAATTACTGCAGTGCTGACGTGTAGCAAAAGTAAGGAAGAAATATAGTTAGTTAGAGAATAGGCGGGGTATGTATGGGAGGTGATGACCGCTCGAGGCTCTGGCTCTTTCTGGCTGATTGTTCCGTTGCCATCGCGATCGAAAACTCGGAAAGCTTGCCAGCACGCATCTTCCTCATACAATGCCACATTCTGAGAGTTTCTGCAACAAAGGCGACAATCTAGCTTCAAGCACTTGTGGGCATGCGTCCTCCATATAATGTTTCCTATCCAACGTGGCAGCCTGGACGAGGCAAGTGTGAACAGCATCAGGGCACATCAGGGCTACGTCAGCGCAGCAGACAGTGAATCAACGTCATGCACTCGAGCAGCAAGAAATTCGGTGTAGTCAATGACACCACTTCCATCAGCATCAATACTTCTCATGATTTCCTGCAGGGAACAGATGGCTCCAGAATCGAGGGTGATACACTGATACACGTCGCCGCGTCGCCGGACAATGAGCTCATTGAGCACACGCCCAACGGCTCTCCTGCAAGTCCGCTGCTATGTCCATCACGCCGCCCTTCTCCAAGCCTCAGACGAGTGAAGGGTTTGGCAACAGCAACTCAACGTAGCAATCCAGGGATACGGCTCGCTTGCAAGGCTCTCTAGCAATGGGCACTCCATCTGAGGACTGGCTGCGGGCTTCTCCGAGGAAAACTCCAGGGGTTCTCTGGTGGGCACTGGCGGGCACTGGTGAGCGAGGAGGCGAGTTGGCGAGGAGCTCGTAAGGTCGACTTAAAATCGAGCAACCCCACGTCAATAGGTTGGCAACCCCACGTCGAGGGGTTGGCGCAAAATTCATGGCATTGATGGTCGACATGGACATACCGTACCGCAATCTGAAATGCGTCTCAAGAGACCAGCTTTGAGCTCGGCTGCGGTCAGCAGACCATCTCCGTTCCTAGAAAGGACTACGGCTGCGCAGAGGGAAACAACACGAAGCGACGGAAGGCCATCTTTCCTAGCCAAGCCAAGTCACTCGTCCAGTGACATGAAGGTCTCCTTTAGGGCCCTGAGCAGTCGAGAACGCTGAGAACATGCATTGTGGCGATCTGTCTCACTCTTGGCACGCTGCTGGATCTGCTTGTCATCGAGACTGCTTGCAATGACTTGCAAGGCAGCTTTCCTCGGAACTTGCTGGCGCTCTCACGCGACACATCCCCAGTTAAACTGCGCACGATGAGCTTACTATTGGCTCGCAACTCATACATGCCGCCGACAGTCTTGAGCTTGTTCTGAGAGAGGAAGCCTCGAAGTTTATCGACAAATCCGTCCTGACGGCAGCTGGTGCCAGAGAAGCAGACTCAACAAGAAGCTCAAGAGGAATCAGGTTCTCTTGTCGAATTCGGGAGAGGCTTTGACCATGATCAGCTTATGTGTCCCGATGTTAGGTGGACACGCATTTCTGGATCGGCCCAGGATTTCTGCATCAGCTTTTCTCCTTCTGATGCCGTTTGCATTCTTCCCTCAATCTCACAGCCAATGTCCCTTTTGCAAATGAACCCTTCGTTGTCGCGTCTACTGAAATTCCAAAGACTCAGCAGACTCGAGCAAAGCTAAAGAAGATCTGATCGATACCAAAGCAGCAGAAGCAGAAGCTACTCTTGCACAAGCGCAGAGGAAGTGTAGCGCGGTAGCGTGACGACGTGCCGGCCTGCAGGTTCACATCCTTGGCCTTGGGGGCCTTCTCTTTGATCCAAACCTAAGGCAAGGCCACTTCGGACTTGGGTAGTTCCACATCAAAATGGATGACGAGGGGCATCGTTCAGCGCCTGTTCGGCAGTGTATCGGTCCTTCGGGTTCATCTGGAGAAGATTCTTGATCCTGAGCGTGATGCTCGACGAGTACAGGCACGCAGTGCACGGGCGCACACACACACACACACACACACACACACACACACACACACACACACACACACACACACACACACACACACACACACACACACACACACACACGCACACCCGCACACACACACACACACACACATACGCAGCGGTGTCTTTCAGCACTCCACATGCAGAGGTCTCAATATGAAGCTGCCGAGGCGCAATGCCTTCGCATCATCAGATACATTCTTCCTTGCTGAGTTCGCAGCAAGGTGTTCCAAACATGAGCGACCGACGTGCGACATGCGACGACCTGATGAGCCTGACAAAGCGTCTCCACTTTGTCCACGTAAAAAGTATTGCCGACACTTGGACCCACTTGCAGGGATCAGGCGTGTCGGTTCACGATCCTCGCAACTCTCATCGTTTCGAGCCCTGACTTCGCCTTGCATGCCCTGACAGCTGTAGGAATCAGCGTGTGTCGGGAACACGATCCTCGTAACTGTCTCGTTGTTTTGGGAAAAGTGCTGACACTCGCGGGATCACGTCATTTTCTGGCTTCTTCATTTGGAATGCAAACAACAGCGGTAGCGCAGACTAGACGTGGAAGGGCGTGGATGCGATGATGCTGTGTTCAAGGACTGTCCGTTCGGGACTGAGAACACCAATACAGGATTGTGACCGAAGATGAGACTGAGTTATGTAATGACACAATCGGCGCTAATTGTAAACGCTTGCGCGCGCCGCCTCGGCAGCCGGGCCGGCCCCAGGACAGGAGAGGAGGAAAGAGGTTTCGCAAAAAAAGGAGGAAGAGCAGCGGGGTTAAAAGGGGGGGGGTGGGGGGGGGGTGGGGGGGGGGGGGGGGGGGAGGGGGGGAGGGGGGAGGGGGGGGAAGGGGGGAGCGGGGAGGGGGGGGGGGAGGGGGAGAAGGGGGGTGGGGGGCGGGGTTTTGAGGCACTCCCCCTGTTGGAGCCATCGACAGGCGGGACCCTGCACGGAATGGGTTTGCAGCTCCTCCAAGCGATTGGGGGCATCACAAAATTTTGCATGGGGGGAAGGGTTGGGTTAGGGGGAAGGAGGCCCGATCCGGGTCTGCTTGTTCCAGACGCTTCTCGGCAGGAAGCCGAGGCGAAATCTGTATCCGCATTCAGGTTCTCAGGTTCATGGTCATAGCACCACGTCGTTGAGTGAAGTGTTGAAGCCCCCTTTCTTTCGGGCGGGTACTCTCAAGCATGCCCAACATCCACACGTGAGGTATTTTGGGTGATGGCGACGCTCCCGTAGCATGAGCATAGTGGCATAGACCCTACCAGCACCAGGCTCCACGTCTTTCGGCCAAGTCACCAGTCAGCTGGCTGGAACTTCACCTTTCCTTGACGGACCTCTGCAACGCAACTGCTGCCACATGCTGCCACATGCTGCCACAGTCGCCGCACTGACGTTCCTGCTTCTACGACCCGGCCTCGTCAAGAACCTCCTGGTCTGAATCTCCATAGAACGGAGGATAGCCGCACAACATAACGTACCTCAGGTGTGTTGGCATCAGCACCGTCCTGTGCGACTTCATATGCAATTGTCACTGCGAAATGGCCATCGAGGAGCATGATGACACCCAGGCTCCACATGTCAGCCATGTGGTCATATTTTCCTGCCAAGACCTGCGCACGCTCCCGCTGTGCAGCATATCCGGCTCACGGTACAGGTCTCACTCGGACCGGCAAAGCTCCCCAAAGCTCCCCGAAGATGAGCACTCAATGCACCTGTGGCGCCACATAGTACGGCGTGCCGGCTTTGGTCTGCAACACCTGCGCGTAGGACTTGGCCCTTCAGTGATGGCACAACTTGGTGCAACAAGCAGTAGTCAGCTTGTGTCGTGTTGTGCTCGTGTTGTGCTTGTGCTTTGGTTGTGTTTTGGTTGTGTTTTGGTTGATGCAGTTCGCCTGATCAGGTGTGAATTCTCGCGCCAGACCAAAATCGATCAACTTCAGCGTGCTTTTCTCGATGGCTTCCTGACGCCGCGAAAGATCACAGTCGACCGCAGTCTATCAATCCAAACCAACACATACCAATGCAAGGAAACACGGCAGAATCTAAAACCCTCCTTCGTCGTGAAAATGAAGTTTTCCGGCTTGAGATCACGATGAGTGTAGTGGCTCCTCATGCAGATCATGGGTTTCACAGAGATCACACGGTGAGCCTGCCGTCATAGACTGGGCGTCGCACTGGTGCATGTAGTAAATGGCCCTGAACATGTTCCTGGAGATGTTCAGATGCACAGCGTGACATGGTGTTTGTGTTGCATGTAGCACGCATGCCATTCCGGACTCAAACAACTGTAGAGCCCTCAACATCTGCCCTCGAGTGCGTCGAATGCTTGCAACCAAGGGTCTGCATCAACAACGCAGCCTGCAAACTCAGGATTGGTCAGGACTGCAGAAGGAAGCCCCTCACATGGAGATACTACGCAGCACTCATCGCTTCTGTTCGCTTCACATCGCTTCACCCTGGCCGCTGCCTGCTTCTCCGTCAGATGGCCATATTCGATGATTCGATCGAACAGCTCACCGCCGGTGCAGAGTTCCAGCACCAAGTAGATGTTGCCTCGAGCCACTCAAGTCCGAGTTGTAGCGCAAGCTGACTGTTCGAGGCTGGGCCGTGACTTTGGTCCATGCGACGCACGGCACTGCTTCTACAACTGTTCTCCCTCTCTACCTCACCGAGCAAGTGGCGATGATCTTGGAACGATTCGTAGAGCTTGCAGATGTTGGGATGATCCAGGATCTTCATGATCTGAATCTCCTGTACCCCAAACGGCACGGAACACGGGCATGCAGCTTACCCTTTGTACTTGGAGCTGCTGCTCACACCTGGCCTTCCTGAACGCTTCGGGACCTGAGCTGAGCAATATTGAGAGCAAGAGGCTCAGGAATGAATACAATCTCTCAGGCACTCAAAAGCCCGCGGCTCTTCAGGGCGGCCTTGTTGATTGTCTTGATGGCACGCATGGCTTTGGTGGCCTGCCAATGCTGTGCATGTACATTGGTGTCACAAGCACTGGATGAAAGCAACGGCCTTGTTTCGCGCTTTGCAAACAGAGCCGTAGGAGCCCTCGCCGATCTTCTTCTTGTCAATGTCATAATACTGCGTGATCTTGCCCTGACAAATACCAGTTTCCGGCGAAGCAGCGCTTTGCGTATTCAGGCATAACAAGGGAGTGTACCAGGCTGCACCTGGTTGTCGACGATCAGGCTGGACGATGCGAAACCTGGAGATGTTTTCGTGAGCAGACTGACAGCAGCTTAGCAAGCTTACGAAAGCCCTCCGTTGCCCTCCGAACGCCACCCAGCCTGTTGTGGACTTTTTTCCACCATTTGCAGAGTCCTCCGGTAGCAAAGGTAGCAAAGGTGAATGCCTGAATGCCTACCTGTTACAAGTGCTGTCCTTACCACCCTGCACCGAAGCGCCGCAACCCATGGCTGCAAACGATGTGAAACCTGGGCGCCTGCAAATGATCCTGAGGCGTTCTGGAGGCAGTCTGGACTAGGTTTTGGGCTTGCCACTATGCCGCAGGAACCTGGACCAGCTGCAGGCCGGGGGCAACACAGTCAAACAAGTGTTGAGCCCTGGCTGCGAGTGATCTTCAATCAACTGTGCACCACGCCCCCTACCCTGCCCCCCCTACCCCCCCTACCTCCTCTGCCAATTCCCCCTGCCCCCTACCCCGAGCCCCCAGCCCCTAGCCCTCGTAGCGATCCCTCTCCCCTTTAGAAAGGCTCCAACACACAGCCCAGAAAGCCGACTAAAGCCCACTGACATGTTCTTGGCAGCGCTTGGTGTCTTGCCCACTTCGGGGGTGTTGGCAGGCGTGGTGGCAAGCCAGCAAGGCCTGAGATTTGTTTCGCTTCATGGAACAAAATTGCACGGACGCGAGTCTTCAGATTCAAAAAGAGAGGGCCGCAAAAGGCGAGAAGACAGCAATCCAGCCGCAAGCAGCTGCAAGCCGGGCATCGCACGGCGAAACTCTCGCTCAAACTCACCCAGCGCATCCTCGGCCCAAGTATGCTCCTGATTCAACCGTTGTAGCGTGAGTGTTTTGAGATGAACCAACGATTCGTCAACGGGAAGCACCGGCAGTTCACTTGGCAGCCTTATCTGAAGAATTCTTCCGGAGTTTCCACTCCAGGCCTTTAGCACAATTTGGCGTACCTTGCCTCGGCGTTCTTCGAGCCCATGTCATCGCAGGACACGTGGATTTGATCTTGCAAAGGCAAGCCGGCAAGCCATCAAAATGCTGGTCGTCGCAAGCACAGAACTTTCTTGCCAAGACCCGCGCAATCTTTGGGCGTAGACTCAGACCTGACCAGCCCCCAAACAGACACAGGCACAAACACACGGAGACGCATGGAGACGCTGAGAGACACACCGACATACGGACACACGGACACACAGACACACCGACACCCAGACACACAGACACGCCGACACACAGACACGCAAGCAAACAGACGCACCGACACGCAGACACACAGACACACAGACACACAGGCACGCAAACACACCGACACACAGACACACAGACACACAGACACACGGACACACACACACACACACAAAAACACACACACACACACACACAACACAAACTCACCAGGCCACGAATTTCCCAAAATGGGGACAAGACGACAGAAGTCTGCACCAGCAAGAAGGAAACTCATATCACTCATCAAAAGAAGCCGAAAACTCATTCCCATGGAAGCTACATGTCGCCATCAACTTGGAAAAAGCTCTCTGCCCGGTGTCCACAACGCTTCCGCCCGCGGCTTCAAGATGCCCCGATCACGACGGGCCTGCAGTCACGTCGAGGACTGGCGACCGAAACGGTCCTTCGCCTGTGCACGTCGTGCAGGAAATGTGCCAAAAGAAGAGGAAAAAAGGATAGAAGAGGTGCAGCTGCAGACCACAAGGGAACTTACACATAGAAAAGTACCAAAAGCTCGATCAGGTTCTAAGCTTTAAACTGTTCCGGCACAAATCTAAACCAAATTACCTGTGCTTGGCAGCACCAGTTCCAGAAGTATCTGCAGAACTGCAAACTCCATGTATGCCCAAATGACTTAGGGCCAAACACCAAGCAACAAAGCGTGATGACTCACGATGCCTCTTTAAAGCAACTTGACTACTGTACGTTTATGCTACTGAAACTGCGCTGGGTCAGCCAGCCCTGCACACTTGCAGCTGGAGTTCGGGGAAGGCATTAGATCACTAGGTTTAGGATCTCTCACAACAAGCAAGGCAACTGCACCTCTGGGTAGCAAGCGTCCTGGCCAAGGCCTTCCACAGGTGCTGCACAATCGTGGCAGAAGGCAGCAAAAACTTGCTGTTGTTTTGCCGAAACAGCTCCAGAAAGAAATTCTGAGCCTGAGATTTCGAAGGCTCGATCGCAGGAAGCGTCTTCCTGCGCTGGTAGCCTGGCGGCTGAGGGTTCCGACCAAAGAAAGCAAAAAAACAAAGATCTTGGTCCAGCTCCAGAAGGCCTGGTCCTCGGCTGTGCACCGTAGACTCCTGGGGAATGACAAGGGGCCGTCCATTGTCAGACTCAGCGACCTTCACGGTTCGTATGATGTCATTACTCCACTATGAGCATGTCGAAGTAACATGTCGCCTTCGTCTGCATGTGAACTCGAGTCGTACCACCCGATTCTACATGCAGGGCAACACCGTGCAACTGCCAAAGGCTGGTTGTCCTTCAACAGGTGCAACCTTTCCACACGTAGAATCCCTAACTCCCTAACCTTCAAACATGACTCCTCCCGCTAAATCCCCGAAATTGCCCTGCGAACTTCAGCATCGCGGCCTTTTGGTGAGGCATTCAGTGCAGAGTGCGGCTCCTGAGCTTGGAAGAACTTGGAGGTACTCACAAGGCGCAAAGCTCGTATCTTACAAGGTTTCACATTGACATTCATAACAGCACAAGACAGTGAAACGGTCCCAGGGTCCGTGCTGCACCTGTGCACAGGGCCCCCTGTGCCCACTGTACATTCTGATGCCTCACCCTTGAGCCGAGTCAGCTTGCATCAAGCAAAGCTTGGGACGCAACAAAGCCATGAAGTTAGCCAGCGAAAAGGTAGCTTTCACATAATTCCATGGAGGACCTTGAGCGCCCTGCTTTACGAAGCTCGCAAGATGAGAAAGGATTCTACACGGCACGACGAACATGATTCAGGAGACAAGAAACCAACACTCAACACGCAACACATGGCGAGACAACATTAGACATGAGACGAGGACGCGGAACATGACATGAGCCACGACACGAGACGCCAGTCACGAGACGCAAGTCACGAGCGGAACACGGGACGAGACTGGACATGATGTGCCCGATACCTGCCAACGCACTGTTAAGACGCGAGGGACCCGCGCCTCGTCCAATCCTATTCCCAACAGGATCCAAGAACAACGAAAGAGAACGACATTGAATAACAGCGACCCGGCTGGGGGCCGATCCCTGCGACTGCTAACGCTCTGTTAGGCATCGAGGACACGAGAACCTGTAGGCAAACAAAGCTACAGCTGCTGCGCGATGCTCGCAGACTTGGAAACTCGGCAACGCTTGGAGAACACTTGGCAAAAGCTTCCAGAACATGAAACGCACGAGAGTCACGAGAGCGCATAACAACTGCTCGACCAATTTCCCTCAAACCCTTTGTCATTGAACAAAAAAGAACCATTCCGCTGCAATCACATGCCTGACTGAGGCTGCCCATCCTGGCACCATAGTTCAGCTCCGCGCTGGAAGCTGGCTTCCTCAGAGCATGCGTCAGGGCATGTGGCGGCATGCGGCCAGCATTGACAAGTCAGAACAATACTGCATCATTTTGGGTGCAGCACCCCATGAAATCTGGCCAGCCAGAATCTGTACCCTCCCAAATATTGAAGCAGCAGACCTGCGTAAACCGACCAAGGTAACACGGAAAGCCCATCACAGTGGTGCCGTGAGGAAAACTGGGGCCAGACCTGCTTTGTCAGGTCTATTGCCTGAGCGCACTGAGCGTCTCCTACATATGACAAAAAACCATCAGCTGAGCACCGGTGCCATCTCAACACAATCGCCAAGTTCCAGTGGCTTCACGAAAGCGGATGCCCTGCCAAATGCTCAGACTTGCAGCACGTGTCAGAGTTGTGCTGTAGAAAGCTTCCCCGGTTCGGACGTGTCATGGCCTCTCGAGCTCCGCAAAAGCTCGCATGCAAATGCGTCCACGCTGATTCACCTCGGCTTCATTGGCTTCCTCTTCTCGTACGTAGATTTTAGACTGGACAATGCTCTCTGTATACTCCGAGAACCGGGCAAATATGGAGACTATTCTCTGGATGTTTTTGGCACCTTGCAGAACACAATGGTCCGTGAATGACAATTCCGTGCGCAGTCCAACCGCCAAACCCAATGCGAACGCTAAGCCAGCGCGCAGGGCAAACGCTGAGAGAAAACAAATCCAACTCCATCGGCTCGGCTCAGTTCGCCAGAGGTGAACTGCCACAGGACTCGGAACTCGATAGAACACAGCTCCAACTACAGCTCCGAGGCTGGGAAGCAATAGCAACCACCGGGCCTGCACTAAATATCTTTGGAGCCCATCTTGATGTACTTGTGATTCAGAAACGACGGACAAGCGTCCTTCGTATCCCACCTGACTCTCTATGGGGATGCTGCACACTCTTCAGGCTCCAGATTCAAAGCCAGCCTTCGTGAACTGTCGGAAATCTGGCTGGACAATGCCCATGCCCTTCGTCTCCTGATTGCCACGACGAAGCGGTCGTCACCAACATGGGACTCCAACAAGCCATGCAACCAGGCGTTTTCACTTGCAGATCAAAGTCTGACAAACAAACCAAGAGATGCGCAAAAGCGCAGAGACATTGGCAAAGCGATGCCACACTCGGCATCTTGACCGTCTTGACCCATGCGGCCTTGGCGACCCTGATGCAATGCCAACAAATGCCAACAAATG